CTTTAGCAAGGATGTGATCATGTGGGCTTTCCCTAGTCCATTCGCCAAGCATGGTGGCTGCAGCAAGCATGCTGAGTGGGTCACCTTGGGGAATACCAACGGCCGCCTTGAAACCACTTTTACTAATGGCTCCATTGAGAGACGAAAATCTTTTGATGTGAGTAAGCATGAAATGCCAAGTAGTAACCACCGAGTAAGGAAGTTCAATGCGAAGCAAGGCTTCACACGCCTTGTCGATAGGAACATTATCGAAAAAATTTTCAGTGTCAATGGCTGTTCCTTGTAGGCTTTCACGAAATGTGGGATCAAGTCGCCAAGTTGCTTCGCACATGAGTGCAGCAGGTAACCAAGCATGAAATGCTGATCTTCCAACGACACCTCCAACCGAATGCTCCGGGATATTTTGCTGAACGTCACTATGCATGGCGTATATCATACTATAAGTATAGTAAGAAACCCCCAAAATAGTATAGGCAATGATTAAGGCCCCTATATTAAGCGCTGTAAGGATGAGGTTTAGGGGCAGAAGGGAGTTTGTACGGTTCTGGGGTGTCCACATGATGCATGGAAATAAACCTGGGAAGAAATCAACCAAGCAACCAAGAAACTCACACATGCTACATGCATACACTCACTTTTCACTTTCCACGTGGCAGAGTTTGTCACGAGACTCTGGTAAGGAGAATGGGAGGACATGCCTTCTTCCCCTCAGAGATACCTCAAACATAATCACGTCCCCCGTACCCATAGTCATAAGCGGGACGCACACAATTAAGCTAGTAGAAGATTTCGAGTCCGACGGCCATCCACAACACACAAGAACATCACTAAACAAACTAGGAGTGATTCGATACTCTCAGTGAAGCTGCCGTCAGCATTGTAATTGAACCGTCCGGCCTGCAAAACTAGAGCCATCGGCGGGAACCAGCATGCGTGTTGCCCTGTACATGCCACAAGTCTAGCAGCTGCTGTGTGGCGGCAGTCATGCCACCGTCAGCCTCAGAGCTATAATATACCTCCATCAACAGTTTGTGTCACATCATCAATCTCAAGTCTCGCATGCCAAGCAATCTCAACAGAAGTACGCACAAACCACTGACAGCCCCCCTACGAACTGCAGGTGCTAGGTACTCCGCAGCATCATGCTGCATGGAGGGATGCAGCCGGCCCCTTATCATACACATAATGTAGGGGCCTTAATAGTTAGAATAAGGTTTTGGGGTATATTATACAATAATCTATAGTAAGGAACCTCCAAATAGTATAGGTAATTATTAAGGTCCCTATTTTACAGTCATACATAATAGTCAGTCAGACGGCCCCAGCGGATCCCAACTCGACATCTTGGGGGCGCGGCCGGTGTCCAGGAACACGGCGGCCCCGCGCCTAGGCAGCGTTGGAAACGAGAACAAGCAAGGGCTTTTCGTGGTGTGCCACTCCAAAGCACGCCTTGTAGCTTGCAGGTCTCTAGTCTTCAATTATGGAAGGCTCCTGAAAAGGATTCTTGGTAGTCCTTGATTGAAATGTATGGGCATCTCTAGGTGCTCCTTCCGAGAGCCCAGGCAAGCCCAAAGCTTGCGAGACGCCGCTGGCCGCCCACGGCATGTTGCCACCTGAGCTGAGCTTCAGAGCTCTTGAGGTTTTTTCAGCTCAAAACCTCAAGGGTTTGGGGCTTCAAGGGTTAAAACTTAGGGTTTGGCGGCGCTGAGGGCGCAGTCCGTCCTGATGTAAGGGAAGCCACGTCTGGGCCTCAAATACTCGAAGCTCTGACAAACATGATAGGTTCCTTATGATGGACACGCTAGGAATTGAGCGGCCGTCGTAAATTGCCAGGAACTACGGGAAAATGCAGGCTTCGGGGCCCGGGAATGAAGCTTTAGGAACCTGCGTTGCAACTTTGGGCTCTTAGGGTTTCGGGTTTAGGGGTGTAGGGGCTTAAGGTTAAGGGGGCTAGCGGTTTAGGGGTTCAGAGGATCAGCATGTACGAATATGCATATCCCGCATCATCCAAAACCTATTGAGCCAGACATAACTCGCAGCCGCATCAGGCGGGTCCCTCAAGCATGACACATGTTTAAGGCTTAGGCTTCAGGGGTATAGGGTAGGCATTTGGGGTGTACTACAGGTCCAAAAGCACAGGCAACTAGATCTTCGAAGCCACCCCTCCTATTCGAACAGGAACTTAAGCATGCTTCGAGGGATCCTCTTGTTCCCTGCACAGTGTGAAAAAATAGACTATTGCCTGGGGAAAGTTCCTGGCCGTAAGGCAAGATCTTGGTACCGTAGGGGCCTTGATAATTAGAATGGGGTTTTGGCGCACCTTCTAGTATAATTATAAGGAACCATAACCCTAAACCCTAAACCCTTCATAAGGAACCATGAGGTATATCCTATTGGTAATGATCTTGGTACCAGTTGAATCGCCCGGGAGGCGGGCGATCGCGAACACCAGCGGCCTCTCAGGTTGGAATCGGCTTTGGATTGAGGGTGCGCGCTTGCTGTGTTTAGGGTGGCCGTAGGGTTTGAAAGGACTTTTAGGGCCCGATAGGCTATGATAGGCTTCTGGGGTGCTTCGGGTGTTTATGGCGCTCTTGGGGCTGCTAACGTGGAGGCAAAGAAAGGGACTACTGCGGCTCAGCGACTCGCATTTCCGGGCTCAGGAAGCTGATCTAAACCCTAAAGCTCACAGCTTGAACCCTAAGTCCTCCACCCTAAACCCTAAACCCTGAATCCCAGTAAACCCTTAAAGGAACCCTTAAAGGAACCCTCATAGATCTTTTTAGAGGAGCCCGAAAAGAAACCCGAACCCTCATAGATCTCTTGAAAGGAACCCTTAACAGGAACCGGAACCCTCATCGACCCCTTTGAAGGAACCCTTAACACTAACCCGAACCCTCGTAGATCCCTTTGAAGGAACCCTTGAAGTTAAGCCTTTTGAGCCCCGACGGTTCCCCGAAGTGGTGGAGCTCCTCTTGGGTGCTCGGGGTTTGCGAAGGGTGCAGCAGCGCACTTAGGAGCTTAGGGTTCAGGAGTGTAGGAGTTGTGGGTTTAGGGTTTAGGAGTGTAGGGATTAGAGTCCAGTGTTTGGGATTTAGGGCTTAAACCCTAAAGGCTGAAACCCTAAACCCATGGGGGCCCTAACAAGATTACGGATTATGCAGGCCTCTAGATTAAGGTTCTTTGGGTTCTGTTTGGGGACAAGGTTTGGGGCTTTGGGTTTAGAGGCTTAAGATAGGGTTTCAGGGTTTACACCAGCAACAAACGCAGTCAAAAAGGAAGCGTCACGAGCCAGAACAGCGACTAGGGCCAGGACCGACAACCTCAGAAGAGCTCAACGAATGAGGACTTAATGAGACAGCAGAAACCACACACTCAACCTTAAACCAAAACAAGAAGCAGCTGGTTGCTGGGCCCAAGGCTGTCATGGAATAGTCGAAATTCATGCTGCCCACCTCAGACGTCAGGTTAAAGATCATTCTTTAGGTTCGGGACACTGCACGTCAATTCCTCTTTTGCCGGGTCTTGGGAGCGGAGTAATGTAGGGGCCTCAATAACTTGAGAAGGGTTTTGGGGTATATTATACTAT